GCTCTTTCTTGGTGTTGCAGGGCATCTGAGGCATCAAGAAAATAAAAACAATATAGTCAAGGGTTAATGAATTTGGAGCTTAACAATACCATGCAAAACATGGTATTTTGAGCCCTTCGATTGCTTGCAGGRAATCATACAATATATTTTCCTATTTGCAACAAAGTAGGTTTTAGTGTAAGGCTTCGGCCTAATGTCAAACTTCACAAGAGTCGAACCTTATTTGAAACAATATTGATAACAAGGCGGTATTGTTCAAATTAGGTTTGGGTCGAGGTTCGAGGTTTAACATKAGCTTAAGTCATTCATGGCATTTTTATGACATTCCATAAATACTTGCACTTGAAATCTTGTATTCCCCAACACTGTTATGGAATCACTTTGATYGACATCTGTCAAAACTTTGTAATGGTCATGACCTTGTGCATTAATTATCGAAAGTAAGTGTAAAGGAAAAAAAAAATTTATGGAGGGATGCATTTCCACCTTGGCYGCCCAAGTTATCTTTTATTCTATTGTATACATCATTCTATTATATTATAAATTATGCATTGGTCTATCAAAGTTCTTTTAATTTTATATCGACTGATTTCATCTTGTTTTCCAACTTATRAACAGGATTTGGGTTCTTTAAAACAAATTTACCCACTCTGCATRAAAATATTAATTTTTATTGGGTAGCTTAGCCCTGTTTTAAGGCTGATTTACACGGTACAAGTTATAGCTGCCATTTACAGTTGTGTCAATCAGCATGTTTGGCACAACAGTTGTGAGGAAAATAGGTACAGTGTATAAATTGGCATTTAGAACACGGCAAGGAAGTTAATCAGATTTCAGTTTGTTTCTGGCAACAGGTGCGCACTACTTGAAAGGCAATATAAACCTATAAACTGTCTTGATTCTAGTTTTTCTATTTTGATATATAAGAAGCCTTGCRAAATAGTATGTATTTTAATTTATGTTCCTCCAATGACACCAATAAACAGTAAACAAATTGAACATGTAATATCAGTGATAATATTAATAATGGTGATGATCGATCGTAATGGGATGATGATGATGATGACAGTGACGGTGATGATGGTAATGGGGATGATGATGAGGATGATCATAGTGATGATGATGGTAATGGGGATGATGGTGGTGATGGTAATTGGGATGATGGTGATTGTGGTGGTAATGGGGATGATGGTGATGGTAATTAGGATGATGGTGGTGGTGGTGGTAATGGGGTGACGGTGATGATGATGATGGTGGCAGTAATGGGGATGGTGATGGTAATTGGGATGATGGTGATGGTGGTGGTAATGGGGTGACGGTGATGATGATGGTGGTAATGGGGATGATGGTGATGATGATGATGATGGTGATCATAGTGATGATGATGGTAATGGGGATGATGGTGGTGATGATGGTGATGGTAATTAGTAGGATGGTGATGGTGGTGGTAATGGGGTGATGGTGGTGGTAATGGGGTGATGGTGGTGGTAATGGGGTGATGGTGATTATGATGATTATGATGATAATCATGTTTAAAGAAAGGGTGACACGCAGCAGTTGCTAACTTTGCATTGATAAACTTGTGGCCCTTTGTTTAACCTCTCTGTGAGGCAGCACCGCCATTTTATRTGGAGAGCCATATCAAAGGACTAACCATATATTTGCAGATATTTTTAGAGGAAAGGCATCACCTTCTACTTAGACAGACACAGAGTGTTTGACAATGACCTGTCACACAACAGACCAGTGCCCAACCAAGCAATCCTGGAGGCAGTCAGYGTTACTGTCAAGAGGAGTGCTCTACCGAGTAATATAGCATGCATGCAGGAAGTAAGAGCACCAAAGAACTGATAGAAGRATGGTAGCTAAGAAAGAGTTCCCTGCTGGCAGAGGCTCCTTTTTTCTCTCATTCTTTTTCAGCAAATGCCAATGCCGATCGAAAGCATGTYACAAGGGGAATAACAGCATTGGCTACTCTTTTGGTCATAACATAGATAACCCAGCAAAACTTCTTTTAAATCGGTGGAATCAAAAAAAAAATTTTTTTGCTAGTCAGTAAAAGTCAAGCCATTATGTCATACAATGGATGAGCCTATAGCTATTAGCCATTCTGAAGTTGAGAATTGTAGTGCACTGTGGGACTGTTTTCAAAATAGACATCATCTTGGAATAATATGTCTTAAAACAAGTGGTGATAACTAGTAGTACTAGCGTGGACTGCGTCAGCGTTTCTGAATAAAACAGTAGAAACTTATAGATAAATTGGAWCACAAAGCTTTTTACAGTGATCCAATTTATCTAAAAGTCCCTAATGTYTTACAGTGCACCTAACCGCCACCCGGTTAGCTCAGTTGATAAGAGCGTCGGTCTGTTGTGTGGGAGGTCATGGTTCAMGCCTCGGCTGGACCAACACTCRGGGTCTTAAAATAACCGAGAAGGTGCTGCCTTTGTAATAATATTTGCAAATGGTTAGACCTTCAAGTCTTCTTGGACTTTAAACCGTAGGCCCTGTCTCCCAACCCTTCCTAACCTACAGTAAAAATGGGGGACATAAAAGAACCACTGAGGACGTAAAAAGAAAYCCTGGCAGTGACCACCCTCAGTGCCTCCACTTCATACTAACCATCTCTCATGCTTGTAAATTGCATAAAGCAAGATCTGTCATTCACAACTCCATGTAAAGCRCCTTTGTTTATATCCACATAGGAAAGGGCGCTTCATAAATYATAATCATCATCATTCAATCATTATCATTAACCCCTGATACAATACTTTCAGTATTGATTCTACATAATGTGAATAGTTGAATGGTGTAATATTTCTTCAATTGAATGTTGTACCTTTAAGATATGAAGGTTTATACTTCCATTACATTGCTGACTGTGACGTCACCCCAGGCTTTTGAGTGTATTTGTTTTGATTTTTAATGCTAAACACTAGCCATCATGAGACATCAGATTTACAATAAATATTGTGGAGTATAATGAKGATTGTTTTTAAAAATTGTTTGTATGAACCTGTCAAAATGTGTATATTTAATGAAGTTTGGGATGACGTCACAGTCAGCAATGTAATGGAAGTATAAACCTTCATAACTTAAAGACGCAACACTCAAATGAAGAAATATTTCACCATTCAACTATTCACTTAATGTAGAATCAATACTGCAATGTCAACTCTACGCAGTTTTTTCCTCAATTGGCTTGGAATTGGCTAATTCAACCAATCAACCATAATCTACTCTTCCGCAATAACAGATTTACACACAAGTAGAGTAARTACCAAGTTTATTACTTCTGGCCACAGCCTGAAAGTTTCCAATTTTTTATCAGCAACGAAAAGAACAAAAAAAAAATTCAAGACGTATTTAATAATATTAATAACATTTATGATAGATGAGGCAGTAAGCCGTGTGAATGGGCTCAGAAATCATATAAGAACATGCATAATAGGTAAATAGACCTCTTACGCTCTGACGTAATGTTTTCCCATTTCAGACCACATGTCATTCCCTAGAGTATCACTTCTTTGTTTAAGGTTTGCGCTAGGTTGCACTGGAGAAGTCACATGAATACAGCTCAAACAAAGAATCTTATTCTCAAGGGAATGACACGTGGTCTGAAATGGGAAAACATTACCCCAAGCCAAAGAGGTCTTTTATGAGCCTTGTTTGAAACGACTAAAGAAAAGTGCCAATGGGCCTTTCACAACTTCAAGTTGAGTAAAATTTGAGCTGGCTCATATTTAACACGGCTTGAAGTTGTGGAAAGGCCCATTGGCATCTAATTATATTTACATTAGAAAAATACTAGTTAACTTTACCTAAATCAATAATTCATTAGTCATAAGATTTCTAAAGCCAGTTGATGTATGAAGAAGTAGAATTGTGTCAAGTATAGAGCCAAGTGTGGAATTGCTGAAGTACATAGCAAAAAATCTTGGAATTAAAAACTTATATACGGTTTGAATGTTTAAGTAGAAAGAGGGTTTTAGCTTTGCTCTGGCTTACCACCTTAAGTACCAGTTCACAGATTTGATAAGATTCAAATTTCAATAACGAATTACAATATCTCAATAAAGAATTACAATAAAAAAATAGCTGCATCAGATTTTTTCCCATTAATTGATGATTTAGTTTGTTTGTGGGTTAATATTTGAGAGGCTTAGGAACTTCCCAGGTGAATCCTTCCTTAAAATGTCCATAAACACAGGTTTTCTGGTAAATTGGCTTCTTTAGATCAAGATCCCTGAAAATGGACAAATAAGAAGTTGTTATCTCTTTTTTCAATTATGACAATTTATTTACCGAGGATGTAACTGCAGGAAAAGTTAAGCTTTTTTGGTTTACTGCCTAATTTCATAACTGCCTGCCACATTCTATTGACAACCCTGTTGCTCAGATAATCTGTGAAAATGTTTAGGAACTTACTTGACAATTCTTCCTGGTCTAAGATCAAAGTTTTCTCTAACAATTTGAAGCAGTTCGTCTTCAGATTTTTCGCTAGTTCCATAGGAGAAAACTGCAATTGACAGTGGCTCGGCAATACCAATAGCATAGGATATTTGCACAAGGACTCTCCTGCATAGCTTAGCTGCTACTAGAGACTTGGCAATCCATCTTGCTGCATATGCTGCTGAGCGATCAACCTAAAAACATAAGAAACAAATGATATTTTGATCCATTCATTTATGACAAACCAAACGCCTGTTTTATCAAACCCTAAATCAATCTCTTAGCGGATCTAAGTAAGGGTCTGACTACCTCACAGATCAAACCTTGAAACAACCTCTTGACTGATCTAAGTCAGGGCATGGCTAACTCACAGATCAAACCCTGAAACAACCTCTGGGCTGATCTAAGTAAGGGCATGACTAACTCACAGATCAAACCTTGAAACAACCTCTGGGCT